TCTGACAAATCTTCAGAATGTGAGAAAAATCTATGTTATTTGCTTGCAATGTAAATACTCCTTCAGACACATATTGCTGTGTGGAGTCACTGAGGACACAAACTCTTGAATGTCATGATAGACAAATCTCAAAAACAAAAAATATATAACATGGGCTTGGTTTGGGATGAGTGGAGGGCGGGTTGTCCTTGGATTACAATCTATAGACCTGTCTACATCAGCTCAAGTTTGCCAAATAACCTGCTATTTAAACTATCCCGATCGCAAATTAACCAGTTAATTTGCGTCCTCACCAGCCTGCAGTTGCAGTTAGCGGGATATTTGGTTGAGAAAATATCCCAAAAAATCTTGGCCTTGTTTCCAAAATACCCTGCTATTTGAGAAATACACTGTAAGCTAATTTATGCCCATCCGAGCTAGTTTGTGATGAGCGTATTGGTCTGGTTAAGACGCAATTTCGAGCTTAGGGATAATATCATATTTGGTAAACTCAAGCTGATGAGGACACACCTTATTTTACATTCTGTACCAATTATCTGCTATCAATAATATTGCATTAACCCTGGAAGCTTCCTGCAATTGTGCTCAAACTCACATTGTTTGATAAAATTTCACTGAAAGTGCAATTCCGTCTAAAATTGTCAAGTGCTATAAGAAGGGTTGAGGAGCTTCAGTTGATGCTAAGTTTCTTTGGAGGTGAACATTGATGAGGAGCTACATGTACATGTGTGCAGTGATGGTAGTATGAGCATTCCTATGCAACCAGTGATACTTCCTTCAATTTAGTCTTTCTTTGATGAGAGTGGCCATCATTTCTGGAATCATTAAGTTTCAAATGATCTTGGTTGATTTCTTTCATACTTCATCCATCACAGCTACTAATTGTCATGCAAAGCTTTGCTGAAGTCATTTTGTAGAAGGATTGGTTTTTGTGAGATTCTTTGAACTTTAATATTGTACAGTTTAATACACATGTTATGTACATGTAGACAAACCATTGTATGGGAGCTGGACAAAACTGTTGCCATTTGAGGGTTCTACCTCTCTAAACGATATTTTCTTCAAGAATATTTATAATTCCCCACTTATTGTCTGATCAATCATGAGCCAGGCAAAGAAGATGGACAAACCTTCAGGGGACACGGCCCTAGAGAAGATAAGGAGAACCCTCTCCAAGTTCTCTCCCTTCAAGCGGAGAAGAACCCAAAGCCTTGCTAAAGATACAGTTTCAAAGACCACGGTTGAAGACAGGGTAGGCAGTGGTGAAAGCCTCCCTGCCATAGTGGCGCTGGACTGCACTCTATTAAAGAACTGGTGTGATATAGCCATCATGGATACAGATTTTTCGAAGAGTGGTGAGAAATCCATGTCTCTGCCATCAATCATTGACAGCAAAGGTAAAGCTGAGAATCGTCTCATAAGACCAGCAGGTAGGAAATGGAAATACCTTCTACAATTAAAAAAAAAAACTACTCTTTACTTTCTCAATGATTAGATGCTGCTTATAAGTATCGGCTTGCATGGTCCTGTAGATATACGGTAGGCTTGCGGTTGCACCATGTGAGAGAGGGGGAGGATTGGGAAGACCCAGAAAGGACTCGGTAATCTTTCTCTCTTGAGTGTGTGTAGTCCTGGAAAGGACTGTTTGGTAGTCTTGAAAAAGACTGTTGTTATCTTTATTAGCTTATAGTTATAAGGAGAACTATAGCGCCAGTTGGAGAGGATGGGTAGTAGGAGGGTCCTCAGGGAAAACAGTATGAATACTGATGAGACTACTCTGGGTAAACAAGACATATTATTATTATTATTATTATCTGTCATGTTAAACTAAAAGTTAATTGAGTGGTTTAAAAACACTTGACTTCAAATTCGAAGATCGTGGTTCGATCCCTGACATGGCACTAATGTCCTTTGGTAAGGCATTCATCTACATTTGCCACTCAATACCCAAGAGAGAAATGGGGACACGGTAGGATGACGAAAGCATAAATTGTGTTAATAATTGCCTATGCCCTCACGGGGACCATGTGGTAGGAATACTTCTCAGGGATTGGAGATGGTGCACATTGTGCTTGAATGAATCTGATGACTGGGGTAATGGTATCTGTAAAGCGCTTAGAGACAGTATTCCTTATTAAGCGCTGTTTGAATCCAGATTATTATCATTATATTATTAGGGTGTCTGATCGCGCACCCGATGTTGTGTGCTAAAATTCTTCCCATAGAGATTACACGCATCCCTATGCAGTCTACGTGCATTGCGCGACCATGCAAAAAAAGTCAAGTTTTTTTTTTCAATTCGAGATTGAAACCTTTATCTGTTGTGATCCTGAAGGTGATACTCAATAAATGAGGTGTCATATGAAAGAGCAGGTGATTTCCAATATTTCCAAAGGGGAGACAACGTGCATGTTGTCTCCGCGATATTACCATTGACTACAACGTGTATTCACTTCCGGATTCTATGGCGCGAACGGCCACCCATACTAGTCAATGGCACATATCGCAGAGACAGCGTGGCTCAAGCTGCAAGTCGCGCATTGGCTTAGCAACATGCGTACTATATGCATACGCTTGCATATCGCGCGATACAGCTGTTTGTCTGAATTTAGCAAAACAACATCACTCTGCTTGGACGTCTTTTTCGTCGATTTTGACCAAAATTATATGAATATACCAGCGTTTTTGAGGGGCTGTATCTTTTGATAGAAACATCGGTGAGACTTGAAATTTGAAATGTATTATTCTGATAACATTTTTTATTCAAATATCAAACAAACATGGTGAAAAACGATCCCAAATTGAAAATTGAAAAATCGTTCAGACACCCTTATATTATACTTTTAAGGGGTTATGTATATTTCAAAGCATACATGTAACTTACTAAATGGTAATTGATACATGTACATGTAGATGTTGATGACACATTCTGATAGAAGTGAATCTTCTTGATTTCACAACATGTTGCACAATAGTTCACTAAGTTTGTCTTCGCACCTTGCGCAATGTTTACTATTATGCTTTACGGATCATATCACAATGGCTTGCATACTGTACATATTTTGTATATACCTGTATTTATACAGGTCAAAGACTTTGATGGTTCATCATGCCCTAGCTGGCATTGCATAGTCTGAAGACACAGACTTCAATTTGGCACTTGACCACACTTTTTAAACCCTTGAGCAGAGCCTAGCTTTGTCAGTCTCTGGCTAAGGGATACAAAGCCTACATGTACATGTAGGTATGGTGTACATACACTGTACATGGTTTTATGAATATGAGCCCAGGGCCCCGTGGTATAAAGAGTTGATATTAAATTTGATGGCTAATATATATCAATAAGAATTAGGGGACTGCAAACTTTTGATTGATTAGAGGACTTGCGATTGATTTGGACCAGTCGCAACTATTGATAAGGTGGGGCGTGATGTACTGTGCATGTATGATAAAATGAAATTCTATCACTCCCCCAGCTTTGCACAATATCTATCAGGTCCAAATAGATATAATAATTTACCAAATATATCAATTAGTAGGCGGTTAGTATCACGTATTAGTCAAAACATATTCTTTCACATGATTGGTAATAAGAGCTTCCATTTCATTTTTTGAGAGGGGGGGGGGGGCATTTTCAAAAACTGATCTTTACCTTTAATAGCAAATATGTGTACAGGTAAATAAGAAATAGAGGACTGCAAACTTGTGATTGATTAGAGGACTTGCGATTGATTTTTATTGATCGCAACTATTTATAAGGTGGGGCGTGATGTACTGTGCATGTACGCTAAAATGAAAATCTATCACTCCCCCAGCTTTGTCTCATAATCTAATTACCAATGGGACAGTTTGGATGCCTAGATACACGTGCAAAATACATTAATGAACTTTATCGTGCGTGTGTGCAGTGATGAGAAATGTTATGCTGAATTAATATGCTTGATGAATTAAAAGGAGGAATCATATGTCGCATTTGTATGGCAAACCCACTGTACACTCTTCAATGCTTCAGATTATAAGCATTATACTGTAGGAGTGGAAGCAATACACTTGTTTGAAGTACCCCAAACAATGGATCTTCAAGTCCAAAGTGTACGTTTGTATTAACGATCTCCTATTGTATAAGGTGTTGATTCAAAGGGCTTTATCAAAACACATTTCCTCATTATGTGCTATTTGTATTTCCCTCTGTTCTTTTCTTTCATTTTATCTTTGAGTATTTACATTTATCTTAGTAGGAGCTTGACCCCATGTGTGCAGTAGTTATCTGTTCTGATAAAATAGAGCAGTGAGTTCCCAGTTGGAATTTACTACAAACCATTAACGATATACAATTCAGTTGAAGTAATTTGAACTTTGTGGTAAACTTTATCAGCACCCCTAATTCTAGACTGTAATCATCATTCAATTGAATTGTGACAGCTTGTATGCATTTATGAAATTTATTTCACTTTCAAACTTGAATGACTTAATACACAACACAGGCCTGCATTTGCGAATGAAAACAAAAAATTCTGCTACACACTAAGAATGGATTATATCACATTGGTCCTAGATGCTAACATAGTTATTTCCTTATTACATAATATGCTATTCAGAGGCCTAGTCATAGTCCTAACCCCAATACTATTCCTACATGTAACTCCAACCATAACCACAATCCTGACATGGGCCGCTATTCAATTCCATTCTTAAGTCAGAAATATGAGTATTTTACTAAGTTTTCAGCTTTGATGAAATACTTAATCAACTTAGATGGCATCGATTTTGTTGTTTTGTGCTTGCCCAACAAATCAGTATTTGCCATATTGTGCCCAAATCAAACCGAATTGGCCAAACTCTCCTATTAAACCAATGGCACTGACCGATAATGTGCTGGACCAATCAGATTTTAAATGCGAATCAGCTTTTCACCAGCCTTTGTTTATTTAATTTTTGCAATGAATAAACAAGTTCTAATAAGATGTTTTCTGTCTCATTTTCTCTGATTGTTGATGCAGTGTCTGGCAGCAGTTCCCCTCATCATGTCACCCCCTTCTCACCCTCACGCACCCCTCGGTTCCCCAAACACAAGCCCTCTCCAATGGACAGCACCTATGCAGATCTCGCTCAGCAGGTAAGCCATTATAGTTTACAGGCATGATATTTGTCCAAGCATCAGTGAATCGAGGGATTTTGTGACATCTACAACTGTTTTTGCTGCTTCTTCTTCTTCTTCTTCTTCTTCTTCTTCTTTTTCTTCTTCTTCTTCTTCTCCTTCTTCTTCTTCTTCTTCTTCTTTTTCTTCTTCTTCTTCTCCTTCTTCTTCTTCTTCTTCCTCCTCTTCCTCTTCATTTTCCTTTTCATCTTCTTCTTCCTCTTCCTCTTCCTCTTCCTCTTCCTCTTCCTCTTCCTCTTCCTCTTCCTCTTCCTCTTCCTCTTCCTCTTCCTCTTCCTCCTCCTCCTCCTCCTCCTCTTCCTCTTCCTCTTCCTCTTCCTCTTCCCCTTCTTCTTCTTCTTCTTCTTCTTCTTCTTCTTCTTCTTCTTCTTCCTCTTCCTCTTCCTCTTCTATTCTTCTTCTTGATTTTTGTCTTTAAAGCTTATCAACACTAGTGTGGCTAGGAGGGATTAGACCACATAGCAAGGTCACTGATAGGTGGCTATCTCATCAACTCGGCTCTCAAATAACATAAGAAATAGAGGATCATGGGGGACCAACAGGCACCGATTGGGGAAGTTTTCTATATAGAGGGAGCAAGTAGCTACAAGTACATGTACATGTAGGACCGTGGGGCTTTAAAATAAATGTAGCAGTCTTGGGTCAGCAAATCGAACCTTGATGAAACATTGAGTGGCACAAAACTTTTAGTTCCTAAGGGGTCATATCAAACTTTAAAATTGCTTTGTTTTTCTCCTTTGTTGATTTATACAGGTGCTGAAGGACTCCCGTACAGACGAGTCTCGCTGTGCTAACTATGAATTCCCTGATGAGATACCCATTGAGAACATTGAGGAGAAGAACACCAGGGTTCAAAAGGTCGTCAGTTATGCTAGGTCGGTATTCCACCAAAATAGGGGTACTCGGTGGTGTAATATGTTGAAATATTAGAGAAAAATAACAACATAATAATAAGGACATGATCAACATCTCATTTAAATTCATTACAGATAGATACATGTACATGTAGTTTAACAAGAATACAGTTTTGAATAGTAAAAAACTATTCTTAACTTTTATCTATCCTTCTTCAATACTTCAATAAATACAAATAAATGAAAAATAAAAAATAAACAGAAAGACAAACTGTCCATCCAAGAAAATCTGGCAAATCAAGTCGAATAGTATTCAAATAAGACAGTTTCACAATAAACATAACATGTATTGATGTTCATCAACAGATAATTCATGATACTATTTCTCAAATTACACTATGATAGTGCCATACTTATATAGGAAGGTATTAACTGCATAGGTTGCACGCGAAGACCCTTGTATGAATAGCTACATGTATATTGAAGAAGAAGAAGAAAAACAAGAAGTTGAATAAATTTATTACACTAATGGATGTTACTGGATGATGTATTTCCTTGTAAGTGGCATAAATAAAAGCAGCACCTCTCTGCAAACTCTCTCTCTCCCTCTTTGAGACTGTCTCTCTGTTTCTCTCTCTTTTTGTCTGTCTTTCTCCCTCTCTCTCTTTCTCTCTTTGTGTCTGTCTTTCTCTCTCTATCTCCCTCTCTCTCTCAGCTTGCTCTCTGTCTCTGTATCTCTTTATCATAGCTCTCCCCCTCTCTTTCTCTGCCTGTCTCCCCCTCTTTCTCCCTTTCTCCTTTTCTGTATTTGTTATGCTTTCTTTTCTCTGTGTGAATATCTGTCCGTCTTACTCTTACTCTTGGCTTCTTTTGTTTGAATATAGGTGTAATGCCATTCTTCCTCATTCCCTGCTCATTAGTGCATTGGTCAGCCCGCAGTGAGTCCCCAAAATAGACTTGGCTAACAAATGTACATCCGTTAAGTATGTGGATACATCTATGCATTGACATCATTCAAGCACATTTTGAGTCTGTCATTTTGATCTAGTTGGAATAAAGCAGGTACTATCTACTTGTGTAAAATTGCAAAAAGAAGGTCTTGTATAAGGAGATCGTATTTCTATCATCTTACATGCAGCGTACATGTATATGTACATACATGGACTTATACATGGATTACTAGACCTGTTTGCTCATCTCTGATATTGGATTTTAATTGGATTGGAGTTACTGATATGTGTGATCTTATTATAACACAACTGAGCAGTATATTTGATATAATGTGTAACTCTGTAGGAAGCATGAAGCAACCTGTGTGCATAATCATAATGTATCATACAAGTCCATAGCCCAGAATATGATATACTTTGTGATGGCTTCGCAAAGTGCTGCACGTTTCTGCTGTGATTGGTGTGTATACACATTGGAGGCTCGGCGATCTTATTTTTGAATGTTATTAACTCTGATAAATTCCAGCCAGATTTTTTCCTGCATATGTTGAAAATCTTTGTGATATGGAAAAGATAGACATTTCCTTAATGTTGGAATGCTTGGAAGGTCAATTGTATTTTATCATGTTTGTGATCGGATAATAAGTTATAAACCAAGTGAGTATGAATTGCTATTTACATCTCAATGTTATGAAAATTAAAACTTAGTCACTTTTACAGTTAAATAGTATATGTATGAACATTTGAAGTTGACTCTCTTTTAAATCTGAAGGTTGAAAATTTGAATAGCATTTTCGATATGCGCTACAATGTATATAAGTATGGCATATTATCATTATAGTTTTTTAATTGACATTGAACATTACAATGATATGATACACATGTAAACACTCTTAACATGTTCATGACATGTCTTCATAATTCATGAAGAGGATGCAATCACATGAAAAACCTCTCAGAAATTACTGTGAAATGAAACAAATAAATGCTGCTATATACACTAAAATAATATTCACATCAGACAACATACATGATCAAGAAACACATGTCATGTACATACATGTACACTGTACATGATAGAACATTGATAGATGTTGTTTGTTGCTTCTGAACTACGTTGTATATGGAACCTCATTTAAAAAACACCATTTACTAGCAAGACATTGAAGTACCTATGGAGGTTTGTACGGTATGTGTGTTTATTAATGTTTATGTTTATTTTGTCACCACAGAGTTACTTTCATGAATTTAATTGCTACTAATTCAGTCTGAGACCTTGTGTGGGTGTATGACACTTGCTCCTGTGAAAATTGCTCCGCATCAATTTCCTTACCAAACTCTTTCACCTTGGACCCAATACCATACCTAACTCTGACTCTAACTCTAACTCTAAATCAAACCTATAACCCAAAGGCAACCTAACCCTAATCCCATACTTTTGACGAGTTTAAGCTTGGAGCAATTGTTGCAGGAGCAAATGTTAGGACACTCCTCATAGACACTAGAAATGGTTTGGATTGGTCTGATAATGTGAAAAACCCTAGTTCCTTTCACACTTAACCTCTCAATTGTTGATAGTGTGAATGATTCCACATGCTTTCACACAGTACTCTATCAAAATATTTTGAAAAGTTCTTTCTTATTGAAGCACATGAAGAACTGCTGGTGTATTTAAAGGACATTAGCAAGAAAAAAAAAACCCTCCCCCTCAAAAAAAATGGATGTAATAAAGCCCATCCTCTTTAGACAAAGTGAAATATACCGTACGTACATGTTGGATTAAAATCACCTTCTTAAAGACATACAATGTACATGTCTCAGATCAAACCAAACCCATTAGAAATTGTGGTCCAGATGTGAAATAAGTTAATTGTTCACATCAATTTACATTTCATGAATTACTGTCATTTGAATTGCTGTTTGAATTCCTAATCCTTTTGAAGTTGGCGTTTGAAATTGATAACTAATGTGTGTTCTCCTTGTTTTCTCTTTTACCCCTCCATTATTACATTCCTTCCTTGTTCCTTCTTTATCACCCATTCTCTCATTCCTTCATCTTCTGCTTTCATTTATTTCATGCTAAAATTAAATCAACTTGAAATTAATTAACATTCCTGCCATATTGTTTGGTCATTTGATTATCATCTTATGAAATTCATGCTCTTAACTTTGTATGTCCATAAAATTACAAATTGGCATAATAATGAATCATTTAATCTGATTATTTTTGTGTGTCACTCATTTTACCATGAACATGAACTGATATTTTTCAATATTCAAATTAATGAGATGATTTTTTTAATTTTTTTATTATTGTAATCAATACTTTCTTTCAATTATCTATAACATCATAACTGTATAATCAATTCATGCGATTCCCATCAAAAATTATAATCCCAACAAATGCCATATTGCTTGACATGACCAACTTGCTTTGTACTAAAATAAAACCTTGGTCTCTCTAATTATTCCTAAAATAATTCAAATTAAATATCTATTTCCATGTATCTACCATGTATCTTAATTTCCTTTGATTAAAACAAAATTTGTCAAATGCACCTATGATGGATTTGAAACAAACATCTGACCATGATTTCAATTAACAAAAAATTATTTTTAATTTCATTTTGCTTTGAGTTTTACTTATTATACTGCTTTATATTGTTCATTTTTTCCATGGCTCTTTCTTCTGCAACCATTTGATTCTATTCCTTCCAAATAACCCTATTATTCCTGACCAAACCTGATAATCTCCAACATTGTGTGTCTGTCTGCAAACACTGCTGGACATCTCTTTGTGGGGTAATTTCTTCAACAATCTTCAATTTGCACAACATCATGAAACTTTAATCCTTTTGCTTTAACCATTGGCATGTCCCATATTCTATCAATTGCATCTGTAACATGCTTTTTCTCTACCTTTGCCACCTCATATCTTATCTTGACGTAATTGCTACCAATGTATTATCTTTATCTCACTCTGTCACCTTTATATAAAGGGTGTTTCCTCTTCCTGTATCTCTATGTATATCACTTTCTATTTAGTTCATTTCCTTGCCTTTCTGCTTCTTATTTCTGACCTATTTGCTTGGCCTCTTTCCTCGATTAACCCCTTACCCCTTCCCCATTACCATCATCACTATCATTATACCCCCCCCCCCAAAAAAAAATATGACCCCCTACCATACCCATCTATGACTTACATTCATGGCCTTTTATTAACCCCTCCCCCTTCCACTCCAAATTCCCTTCTACACCCTCCACCTCTCCTATCCCCTCCCCCTCTCCTATCCCCTTCCCCAACATCACACCAATGTTAACTGCCCATGGTTTGCTGTGTAATTACTTGGGATCCCCTTGGACACGCTCCTGTCTTCCACCCTACTTTGGGCCACGTTGATTCCATAGCGCTCTTAAGCAGCGTTCGGCAAACACGAGCCCAGAGAGGGCGACAGGCACCAGCACCTCTTCCAAAACTGTGTTGCCGTGAGTTGCTTTTGACATGGTTGCAGAGACTTTCAAGAAATCATCCAATGTGGAATTTCAATAGCCCTTTTTTGCCACCATTGAAATGTGGAAACACTGCCATGACAGATAACCTAATCCAAAATGTTTTTTATGTACAATGCAAAGAGGTGTTGAAGCTGCCACGTTACTGATTTCTTGACAATCTGTGTGATCATAATTTTTACTAATCCTTTTAGAGTTCTATTATTGAAACAAGCAAATGCACTCTATTATAAAAAAAACAAATAAGTCATATACCATAGCAAAGTAAACTGATGACTTATTAATTATGTGCAAATGTTTCATTAGCATTCATTGTTAATAATAATACTTTGTTCTTTTATAGCGCATTTGATGTCTGTTGACATTTCAATGCGCTTAACATTTTGCCTTGAAACTTATCACTATTTCTTGCTTCATTATTGGCATCAGCAGTACATGTCAATTTTACACTTGTGATTGTTTGCTCAAAATAAAGAAAAAAGTGAAATTGCCATTAAAAATGTTGAATTTTATACATTGACCATTGTATTAAATGCATTTGCTAAAGCTATGGAGTGCATTTGGTGTTTAACTGTGTTTCTAAATATTTAATTACATTCAGTTTTGAAATCCTCTTCTGAGTAGAACAAGTTTTTGCAATCTGCATGTGTTCAGATTTAGAGAGTATTCTGACTATTAAGAAACATTTTATTTGCATGTTGTTTATTTCTTCATATTTACATGTACATCTTACACAATATGGTGAAGGTCTTATGTTTTTGACACGCATGAAATATTGTTCCATCTGTGGAAGAATAACATTAGGCCATCAACTCCCTGTCAAATAGGATCTGTAATGTAGATTGGAAAACCCCTCTGGTCTAAATGATTACTACATGTGTATTGGAAACAGATATGTTCATTATGACTCCATTACATGTGTGCATGGCAGATGAAGACTGAGGTCTTGCCAAAGGACACATCCAGACAGGGACTTGAACCACAAACCATACCATCCATTGGGTATCCTGTTTAAAGGAATTACTGTACTACTATCTAAACCTCATTACAACACTAACCAAATACAGTCAAACCTGTCTATTAAGGCCACCAAAGGGAAACACAAGAAGTGGCCACTTTAAACAGGTGGTGGTCATTCTAGCCAGGTTCTACAAAACACATTCCCTTCTACAGGGAGGCAATATGGGTGACTACAATAGAAAGGTGCCCTTTGTAGAGAGGTGGTCACTAAGACAGGTTTGACTGTAATAAGGCTTATTAGCATGGAACTCAAAATAAGATTTTGTAATTCATTTGGGTGGTTGGTCTCTGGCACATTTAACCAAATAATGAAGTTTGATATTCATAAATTCTAAGAAGTTGTTTGTTGATGTATCTAAATGTGATAATACTGGTACACTAGCAAAAGGTAATTGAGTTTAAAATGCTATGTTTGAAGTTCACTGGAATGTGTGACCCGTACTTCTCATATTATCAAGTACGCATGTGATAAACTTCCGCTTGTATGTGGCTTCAGTATCTACATAAATCATCTATAGACAATGAGGCATATTTTTGAGCTTCTTTGTGAGCTATTATTAGCCGGTAACGAGGTTAATGATTGTCCTTTCCCCAGAATATAGATCTATAATTACTTTCTCAGCAAAGTTGTGTAGGCATACAGTTCCCTCAGAGTTCACTTGTATAACTGTCTTACTTATGCATCCTCTGCGGCGTAACTCTATTCTTGATTTCTCACACCTTATCATTTGTTTCGAGAACATTTTCAATTATTCTTAAGGATATAAATTACCTGAAGGCATAGAATCAATGGGATTCATTGGATTGTAAGGAGCAGACAGCGTGTTAGTGAAACAGGCAGAACTTTTTTTCCTTGTAGAAAATATGTTTTACTCTTTGGAAGCTGCACATAGAGTTCAATTTTGTACCTTTTTACTCCCACTCTACTCGGCCTGTGGCAATTTATAGTTACAATAAGATGCCAGTGGTGGACTGCAATGGCATGGAAGAAACACTTTAATCAATGATCACTGTTGAGAATTTGTGTCATATCATTCATTCTTTATTCACTATGGAATGAAAGCGAATACTGTCACATTGTTTGGAATATATGGTACATGTGCTGTTCCATTAGTCATCCATAGCAGGGAAAGAGTTATAAACAAAAAACAAACTGACAAACAAAAACAAAAATTGTTCGTACTCAAATAGGCCATTTTCGTAATGTAACCAAATTTAATGCATACATGTAAGTCTTTGTAAATAGCCTTGATACAAATTATTTCATTCACCTGTTAAGAATAATAGTATTTCAGTTGACAGAATCCGAACTGCATACATTAGTTGTTGTTAGGTAGGACAAACATTATGGCTTGCCCTACCTAGCAACACTTAATATTTGCAGTTTGCATTCTGACTATTGAAATACTATTTTTTTTATCAGGTGAATGAAATAATTTGTATTGAGGCACTTCAAAAAGACTAATGCATTAAATTTGGTTACATTACGAAAATGGCCTATTGCTGAATGAACAGACTCAAACAGGAATTTTGATAACAATAATCTTTTGTGCATGGTTGATTTAGACACCACTCCAAGACCTTTGAGATGGGAGATGAAGCTGAAGATGAGCTCACTCAGTCACCTGATCCCAGCAGCCATGAACGATTCAGTCACATGACGTCACAGCTCAGTCTGGAGTACCAGCGTGTGTCCATCAGTGGGGAAGATATGAGTGGGGTGAGTATACTTTATCAGTAAAGAGAAGGAGCATTTCAGGGAAAGGTGATACAAAAGTTATGATTTTTTTTTCAGTACTTTTATGTTTTTATGATAGAATAACCGAAAAATAAGTCTCCTGAAAAAAAGATTGCTCTTCAAGAGCCCTCGCATTTGAAATATGACAAGAAATAGCTAAAGTGTTTTTGAGCATTTTTTTTGTAGTACCATATACAATTTCTGTGTACAGTGCTTGCAACTTTCAGCAAGACATATTCAATTCCGGATCATTGTGATGTATCCAAAACCTCACACTATACACCAATTCTTATACATGAAAATGTCATTACTAGGCTTCATTCATGAAAGTGGTACATCACTTATGAAGTGAGGAACGTCAAATACAAATTCATCTCACCTGAAGACCTACACCTCTTTGTCTCTTGTGGAAGCATTGTTGTTTACATTGTAGATTGTCCCTCAGATAGGACTGTGAACCCTATGATCTTGACCATATAACTCTTTACTTTTTCCAATCCTTAAGGTTCCACCTGAAGACCTTCACTTCGCTTCTATGTCCTTGGTGGAAGCGTTGTTGATCCGTGAGAAGTACATGGAGCTGGCTTCCCAGACCTTCCCCAGGACCACTACCTACTTCTTGAGACAGGTGGACCGGAAGCCTCTCAATCTGGATGAATCAAGCTCTGTTGAAGACGCTCACAGTAAGTATTCTGGGGAGTGTTTCACAAAGACTAAGAATCAACCTCTTTGCAACTGACCATCTTGACTGGTAAATGATACAGCAGGGGAGTGTTTTTACAAAGACTAAGATCGACTTTAAGTTGGACTTAAATATTGCAGGCCATTCATGCCACTGGTTGCTCTCCCTATTGGTCGATCAATTATGATCTTTAGATAACATTTTTTCCTTCAATAATGAACTATCAACAAAATGTAAATTCTGTAGATTTGTGACCATGATTTGTACGTCCCTTGAGAGATAAATGCCAGTAACAGTGAGAGCAAACAGTGGCATGAATGGCCTGCCATAGTTAAATCGATTTTAGTCTTTGTAAAACACTCCCCTGCTGTAGCATTTACCAGTCAGGATGGTCAGTTGCAAAGAGGTTGATTCCTTTAGAGTATCAGAGCCAGTCCAGAAATAGTCATCCCATTTTACCCATAAGGTCCAACCTCTTAAAGCTACCTAGACCATTTCACTCATTGATTAAAATGTTGTCAGCCCACAGTGGTTTAGCCCAAGAGCTCCTGAAACAGACCCCAATGTTGGGTCCATTTCACCCATCTATCTAGCCCATGCTACTTTGTCAGTAGGAGCTAGGAAGTAGTTTGACTGGACATTACAAAACACAACAATGACAGAAATTTCTGTCAGATGGTTTTTCAGATATGCCTCAACAATTATGTTTAAGGTTACCCTTTAAATCTCACATATTATGTTAAAAGCAAGAGTTATCACTGTACATTGGAAAGTATTCTTTTTCATGATAAGAAATCAAATTGTGAAGGTGATATAAGAATCCCCAGAAGAAAAGAAAAAAACAATCAAAGTGCCTTTGGCCAAGCTTTGCTGCCCACAAATACTCTGGCTGTATAGACAAATTAGTCCCTGCATTCCAAGCCTGCATGTAATAACTCAAAAGTGTAATTCAGCTCTGTGCTATAGTGCAATCGTGAGCATTTAGTTTTCTTGAGGTGCATCAAGATATAATATGATTTCATTAATATGTTATGATATTGTGAAAAATTGTTTTGCTCTTTCAAAGTAGCCAACAAATCTTATCTGGAAAATGTAAACACACCAATGTAACTATCTTTACCTCTTTGACAAGACAGAATAGAATGGAGGAGCTGCAAGTAGCTGGGTAATTAACACAATAATAGTAAATTTCAGCATGGCATTCACACAGCCCAGGTACCTAGCAAGTGCCTCTATTTCTCTTTTGATAAACTAAACTTCTATTATTTGATTGAAACTGTCCATGTTTGCTGACTTGTTATGATCTAATTTTAAAAGATGCGGTTCGATTTCTATTTAAATGTTAAATGGTACCTACAGCTTTGCATGATGAAAACTCATTTGAAGGAATGTGATATCTAGGGCAAAGATGCACCATTATTAATTGTTATGTTTCTGCATTGTATTAGTAAGTAAGATGAAGCCTAAGAACCAGGAGAAGGCTAAAAGCCCCGACAAAGAAATCCAGTGTAAGTTTGTTTGTGTGAACCCTCTTTTTGTGTCACTGAACTGCTGTCATGGAACTTTACCTCAACTACCAACAATCTGGTCTGACCTTAGCTAGAACAAATCTGTGCACATGGCTTTTCCCCCATTTCCTGTGATGTGCTTCTTCCTAATGTGAATTATTGCACAAGTTTCTAATATTCTTCTTTTGAGGATAAAAATCAAATATGGCTCTTTGAAAAGTACAAATTCTTGCCTTTTTCTTATTTCTAAAAAAGTGAAACCAGAATCTTATGGTTGATTTTTGTGGTGAATGTTGTGCTCTTTCATTACTACCCATTTCATTGAACGTTTTGAAGGGTTTATATATGATCTACATGTATATGATTGTATGTAGGTCTTTACCTGTAGAAACCAAGAAACAAGATGAAATAGTAAACATTTAACTAATTACAGAATTCACAGTTTGAGTCTGGAAACAACAATTGTTATATCCCAGTGCTATTATTCCATTGATTTGTAAGCTAACTTACATGAGCATGAGCCAACTTTGACCTAAATTAGGTGAACTGTTGCAAGTCTACATATGTACTTATGATGGTTGTTATTAACTATGTTGAATACCCATTTCACCGGATTCATTGTTTGTTAACATTTATCTATCATAATTCATTTGATACCTCATGTAAAATGTTTATTGAGATAATCATTGAACACGCAGCTGATAGGTGAAATTGTTCAAGTTACAGAGTAAGAAGTACATGGCATAAAAGTACATTAATGAAACATTAAAAGATATAGAAAACTAAACAAGTATTGAGTATATTTAAATACGATTCGCAAGACAATTTTTTATTTTCAATACAAAATTGCCATAAATTTGTTTTGAGTCAAATTGAAATAGTGTGTAAAGTGCACCACACACCTTGACCTAACTGTAATTAGATAAATTTTAATGATATTTGAAGGGATTTTTTAGTTTTTCAAACTGATAAGAAGCCCAAAGGCTGATTGCCAAGTCAGCAGTCTTCTAACGTGTCCATTTTACTGTAACTTGAAGCTTGTCATACCTTTGCTCTTACTAGAAAACTCATAATACCTCCAAAAAATAATTCTACTCTTCTTTGGTTTAATTTTCAAGACCTTAGAATGTTGTGCATGTATTGAATCCTATTTGGACATGTTACTAGACCCTATAGTTCCTGTATTGTTAGCCTTGAGTTGGCTATAGAACATGAGCTATTGTCATCATGTTAGTAGTTTGGCATCTAAAGCATGTTGATACAATCAGACAAAGTTTTGTTTGCCTCATCTTAATGACAGACACAATTATCACATATGTTTCTGTTCAATTTTCTCTGTGTAAGGATGTCTAACTTTCCCTATCACTCCAGTGCAGTTTATCTGTGGTTGTTTTAACATGATTGTGTTGAGAATTACCGTTCTTGATTAATACGAAAAGCCCAAGTGTGAAATGCTTCATGTGTGCTATGCTGGGTGCTTCGGTCTTTTTAAAGGTGGTGTGTCCCTTTTGCAGGCTGAAAATATTAACTTGGGTAAATCCTATGGTAAACAAGAGATAATAAACAATGAACACCAAGAACCGGAAATTAGCCTTGATATGTATGTGTGTTTTAAAACAGCTTTGCATTTCTCATCTCTCAGAAACGTGATTCTGGCTCTATGTCACGTTCAATACGCACTTTTTTTCGGCGTTTCAATATACCCATATCTAAATATGTTTAAAAAACAGGCTTGCATTTATCTCCATGAAAATTTGTCTGAAACACGTTTTAAAAAAGCTGATTCTATGCAAAAAAAGGTATTATAAATGCACCCTTGGCCGTGCACATTTGACAAGGAAAGCTAGACAGCTCGATTATCCGTTACACACCTGTACTTTGTCCGTCTCTTTTAAACAGATCATCCTATCAACGCTCCGTCTAAGTCGGACCCGTTTGAGATTATCCGTTACACACCTGTTCTTTGTCTGTCTCTTTTAAACAGATCATCCTATCAACGCTCCGTCTAAGTCGGACCCGTTTGAGATTATCTGTTACACACCTGTACTTTGTCTCTTTTAAACAGATCATCCTATCAATGCTCCGTCTAAGTCGGACCCGTTTGAGATGGAGCTTCCTGATGCGATCAGTTGTGAGTTGAAGCTGATGGAAGGTGTGATGAGAGTCTTTGAGAATCAGGAGAAGCTAGAGAAGAATGAGCCCATTGAGCTGGCCTACCCGGACAGGTCTACGTTCCTTATTGATAGCAACAAGATGCTTGCTCTCATTGCTAATGGACCCATGTGAGTTTGGAGCAGTTAAGCACCCTTGTCCGATTATGTTCCATTTTGCTATGAAAATGAAAAAGATTGAGGCGCATCATTGTTATTTCATTAAGGATAACAAAATTTATATTCCACATACTAAGAATCTTGCTCTACGATTGGTCAAAAGTAAATCACGTGATGAAAGATAGTTAGCCCATCATTGATGGGAGAAGAAAAGTTTGTTGCACTGTGTAGATAGTAGTACTAGAGAGAGAGAGAGAGAGAGGGGGGGAGAGAAAGAGAGAGAGCAAGGTTGGACATTCTGAACAGATTGACTGTTTGTCATCAGGCTCCATTAGACAGTAACTTAAACATTTATCCATTTCCTCTGCAGTAAATCGTTCTCCTATCGGCGCCTGTCCTACCTATCCTCTAAATTTCATCTTCACAACCTCCTGAATGAGATGAAGGAACTAGCAGCTCAGAAGAGTGTGCCGCACAGGGACTTCTACAACCTCAGAAAGGTACTTCTCCCTCCTATCCATTTTATATTACTAGTATACAAATGATGCATGCTCATGAGTTCATTATACGATCTATCCGCACTCGAGTTGAGGCTGTGTGTATCTATTGCATGAAGCTGTTAGGCTGAGTGCGATAGATACACACAGCATCAACGAGGGCGGTTAGATTGTATAATGAACGAATAAAAACATGCATCATTTGTTTTTTACTACGGAACTCCTAGGTCCTTGTTATTTGATGTAAAGGATTGAATTTAAGATTGTTTCGTGACAGTATGGCTGACAAATAAATCTCGAGTTTGATAGGCTTAATTTAGCGCGCACACATAGATAAGCGCACTTACCTCTATACGCATGGACGTAAAGTGCTGCACAAGAATAGGCCCACTATTGCACGCTTTTTCATGAAAAAACGTGGGTTAGTCTCAGCAAATGAATCACACTGTGACTGCACATGACCAATCATTTGATTAGGATCTAGGAGTGAGTTGTATAATACCATTTATCTTGTGGCAAAGGCAACCATTCAGTCTAACATCCCATTCATTCCCTAATCTATGTATATCAACCCGTTACCTTTTGGAAGCAGGGGGCCCTGTATTAAAATGAACCAATCATCCAAAAACTATTTTGTTTTGTAAGTAAGTAGTTCAAATATTACTTTCATAAAGATATTTAGCAAGATTAGATGCACTCTCAATTAACATAAAGGTGACTTGTGAATAGACTACTTGTCCCACATGCTCGTTTAAAATAGGGCCTGCATGGAACTCAACTCTGACTTGGGTTCCAAAGGCATTGTTTTGTTATTCTGTATTTTTTTCATACTCCTTATCCGTTAGCTCATCGAAAGCCTGATCAGTTTAAAAAAAAAAAATTCTAGCCGTACATAAATTATTTTTTAGGTGATCGGTACACTTTAAACCTATGAGAATGAATGAATGATTTATCCATATAACAATGGTCTTCTTCAGGAAAATAAAAGAAAGATAAAGGGTAATAGAAATACCCTTCACAGCAACTTCACAGCAACTTCACGTGCTTGGATGATCGTGAATTGACTTTCAGTTTGGAAGTAAACTTTTCATTTCTGATTCGATTGTAGGTTGATACTCACGTTCACGCAGCATCGTGCATGAATCAGAAGCATCTTCTCCGCTTCATCAAGAAGAAGATGAAAACCGAAGCATCACGAGAGGTCTACTTTGACAAGAAACTTGGACGGGCGCTGACACTCAAAGAGGTCAGTATATGTTCAGTCAAACCTGCTTTAGTGATCACCTGTCTACAAAGACCACACTTTTTGTTTCCCTTGAAAGTGGTAGCTCATTGAAACATGTACTAAAGGAACCTGTCTACAAAGACCACCTGTCTTCAGAGACCACTTTTTGTGTTTTCCTTGGGCGGTCGCTATAGACAGGTTTGACTGTACCATATTCTAGTTATTATAAAGATAATAATTGCACAATCCCATTTAGCACAAATTGATTAAATATGATTCAGTCTCCATCCCCACACACTCACACAAAAACACACATACAAAACACTGCATACACACATACCTACAGGAAATACTGTATTGCTACAAATTTTCAATTAGGTATTTTGTGACAAAGCTTTATAAAACAGGATGAAGTTGAACTTAATTTTATAGAAGTAGGGAATTGGTTCCATTTCTTCACGCTATGTTATGCTGATCAAGCAACTTGTCAGACTTTCTCCTTTGATTCTCTCTTACTTACAGGTGTTTGACAGCATGAATCTCAATGCATATGACATAAATGTAGATATGCTGGACGTACATGCCGTAAGTATTCATTTCTAGACATTACTGTCACATAACATTGATGTATTAAAGCCACACTGCACTACTTATAGCTACTTGTGCCATCTATATAGCAAACAATGCCTAAGTGGTTACCATTGGCCCCCCATGATCCTCTTTTTCTTATGTTAGATGAGAGCTGATTTGATGAGATAACCACCTGTCAGTGACCTTGCAGGGAGGTCTAAACCCCTGGCTAAACTAGTACAGAGGGGCTTTAAATGACTGTCAGGGTCTGTACGGAGGGGCCAGTCCCTCAATAGGGAAAAAACATTATGGCTTGCTCTACCTAACAACACATAATATATGCAATTTGCATTCTGACAATTGAAAATTCATTCCTTGCAATGATAATGTAGTGAATGTACATGTAGTGTAAAATCTTACCAGAGACCCTTGAATTTCTTATTCAAAAATAATGAAATTGGGATGATATTAAACATACAAATTTTGATTTCTGTTCCATGTCTTTACAGAACATTACCGGTACTTTGAGTTTTAAAAAGACATTGCTATTTTTTCCACAAGTGAATAACTCTGCTCTCCTCTAGATTATTTGTATAGAATGTCCACCGAATATATTGTTTACAAAATACATTGTTTACAATATGCATTGTTTACAAGCTTACAAAATGCATTATTTGTCTATATCAGGATCGCAACACGTTTCATCGGTTTGACAAGTTCAACTCTAAGTACAACCCAATCGGAGAGAGTAAGCTGAGAGAGATCTTCATCAAGACTGATAACTTCATCGGAGGAGAATACTTTGCTCAGCTCATCAAGGTAATCACATAGTCTTATCAGGGTACAATACAGAGAATATTTAAAAAGAAAAAATATTTAAATTCCTTAGATCGGCAACACATTGAGAGGTCAAAATCATTAAGTTTTTTCTAAAAATCAAAGTTGACAATTTTCCAACTTTTCAACCAAGTTCGTACCCGGGTATATTGTTTGTATAGATAATGTATATACAGCAGAGATGTTTATGCATCATTACCTCTATAGCGAAATTACTTATGTTAGCAAGGAAGTGATCATCACAACCAAAAGTGCACATTCAGAAGGAAATATAATTACATGTGTTATAAAGAATAAGATTATACCATTGTATCCATAAGATACTTTGAAGAGTAGAGCACGCATGGACTGTTTCATACGTCTTCAAGAGATTGGAGATTAACTCATTGTTGTATAACAGATATACCTATGTTGATCCTGGATCATTCCCTTCTGCCTGTAGGGGGTAGGAGCAGATTTTAAATGTCACACATTGACACCTGGGCCCTGTGTTATAAAGAGCCCCCATTGAATCAAGTCAATCACAACTTAAAATGAATTGCAACTTAAAATGAATTACTACTGTGTACTTAAGAGATATGAATTGTGATTATTTTTCAAGTTGCAATCAATTTGAATCAATCTCAAATCTTGAGAAGACTGGGGCCCTGGATTTGTCTTCTTTTCACAATGAATGTAGAAGTACCAGCAAACTTCAATGAGTCACAGTACACAAACACATTTACAATATGTTATGAGCTGACCCCCATTGACCCTGGAATATTCCATTCTGTCCATAGGAGGTAGCAGCAGACTTGGAAGAGTCCAAGTACCAGAATGCAGAGTACAGACTGTCCATCTATGGACGTAACCGCAATGAATGGGACAACCTTGCTAAATGGGCCGTCAAGCATCATGTCTACTCTGATAACATCCGCTGGCTCATACAGGTCCCGAGACTATAGTAAGTCAATGTGGCAAAAGCAGAGAGACATGTGTAGATCTGGGGAGTGTTTCACAAAGACTAAGATCACTGAAGTTGGACTTAACCTTGGCAGGTCTTTCATGCCAATATTTTCTCTCATCATTTACTGACAATGGTTTCTCAAGGGACGTACCATCGTGTTCACAAATCTACAAAATTTAAATTTTTTGATAAAAAGACGGAAAAGACATTATCTGAAGATCATAATGGGGACAGCAAACAGTGACATAAACTGCCTGTCATAGTTAAGTCCAACTTTAAGTAGATCTTAGTCTTTGTGAAACACTCCCCTGGTTATCACTATTGGGTTTTGTGCATGGGTATCTTTGCCTCAGATTCTAACAAAATCCTGGATGCAATCATAAATTATAAGGTCAGCCAGGAATCGCATGACTTTTACAAGCTGATCACCAGTCTGATTATCAAGATATTTGTGATTGGAATTAGAAATGTAAAAAAAACTGTTTGCCGAACAGTTTTGAACAGCACTACAGTCTATTGAGGGAAATGAGTATGGTAAAACTGGTCACTTAATATTTTACTTTTTTGAAGCACTTCATGATCATTTTGAAGCGCAATCTTTTTAGGGCTTCAATATTACACCATATCAAAGATAATGGTATTACGTAGGGCCATGCATCTCAGATTTGTCAAAACTGGAAACATTGTCAAACCATTGTTAAACAATGCCTTTAACATGTATGACTTGACACAGGTAGACCGCAACTATTATTGTCCGTTACTTGTGCATGTCATATCACATTTCCAGACCTCTCTGATGTTCTGTTTGGGTATAGAATCTCTCACAGTAATTTCATTCCTCTCATCTTGATTTGACCCTTGACCCTTTGCAGCGATGTGTACAAGTCCAACAAGCTGGTGTCCAACTTTGGTGACCTCCTGGACAACCTGTTTGGACCTCTCTTTGAGGTGACCAGGGACCCCAGCTCTCATCCAGACCTTCACAAGTTCCTCAAATATGTAAGTATTCACTCTAGAGACATCCAAGTCTGTAGAAATCTTTCAATATTTTTTGACAATGTTGAAGATTTGAACAGCATGATGGTGATGATGATGATGATGGTGATGGTGATGGTGATGATGATGATGGTGATGATGATGATGATGGTGATGATGATGATGATGATGATGATGGTGATGATGATGATGATGATGATGATGATGGTGATGATGATGATGATGATGATGATGATGATGGTGATGATGATGATGATGATGATGATGATGGTCATCTTCATCATCATCATCATCATCATGCCACTGTTTGATCTCACCATTATGATCTTTATGTAATATTTTTTCCTTCAATAATGGATCATCACAAAATGTAAATGCTGTAGATATGTGACCATGATTTGTACATCCCTTGAAAGACCAATACCAGTAAATATTTAGAGCAAAAAGTGGCATGAAGGGCCTGCCATAGTTAAGTCTTACTTGAAGTAGATTTTAGTCTTTGTGAAACACCCCCCTGGATTACTCCCTCTCTCTCTCTCTCTCTCTCTCTCTCTCTCTCTCTCTCTCTCTCTCCTTCTCCATCTTTCTCTCTCTCTCTCTCTCTCTCTCTGTCTCTGTCTCTTGCTAGGTGTCTGGGTTTGACAGTGTAGATGATGAGTCCAAGCCTGAGGACCTGATCTTCTCAGCAGACAGCCCAGAGCCAGAGAACTGGAGTGGTATTCACAACCCACCCTACAGCTACTACCTCTACTACATGTACTCTAACATCGTAGTCCTCAACAACTTCAGAAGGTAAGACCAATCATGTGAACCGGGTACAGGCACATTGGAAGACTATTGGGGCGTTGCAAGAAAGTTGCGATTGATTGCAAGTTGCACTGATATTTGCAACCGATTGCAACTCAACTTTCTTGCAACACCCCACTAGTCTCCTAAATTTCATATCATTTTGTTGGGATTAAAGTTTCAACAATTAAATTAAGTTAACTAGATCTAGCTTTTATACTCCCCCTCTCTCTCTCTCTCTCTCTTACTAATGGAGCATTGCAAAAAAGTCGAGTTGCGATCTACTGCAGGTTTGCAATTAATCGCAAGACTTGCGCTTGATTTTGGGAATTTGCAATTCATTTCAACTTTCTTGCAGTGCCCCGTAAGATGTATGAAGTTGAAACGGTATGTATGTAGGCAAGCTTGCCTGCTGATTACAAGCTTATGATTTTAATGATCAAAGCATTTGAACTTCATAACAACTTAGAACACCACTTTTTTTAATATAATGTGCAAAGAACACAATAAAGATACACACACATTTTTTTAGAGGATAACATGAACACATTTTTGTCAAGATCTCACTGTCATGAAACTAGGCCAGTTCATACTCTAAATAAATCCTCTGTTGTTTTACTTTAAATCAATCAGAGAGCTTAACATGAACATATTTGTATTGAGACCTCATTGTGGTGAGCTACTCCAGTCCTTCCCAGTTTTACTATGAATCGTTCAGAGAGCTTAACATGAACATATTTGTATTGAGACCTCATTGTGGTGAGCTGATCCAGTCCTTCCCAGTTTTACTATGAATCGTTCAGAGAGCATTTGTATTGAGACCTCATTGTGGTGAGCTGATCTAGTCCTTCCCAGTTTTACTATGAATTGTTCAGAGAGCTTAACATGAACACAGTTGTATTGAGACCTGACTGCAGCGAAGCAGGTCTAGTTCATAGTCAAATGTAAAACCAGTTCATACTCTAAATAAATATGCTACTGCTTTACTTTTTATCAATCAGAGAGCGTAACATGAACACGTTTGTCCTGAGACCTCCCTGTGGTGAAGTTGGTCCTGTTCATACTCTAAATATATCTATTACTGTTTTACGTTTAATCATTCAGAGAGTACATGAACATGTTTGTGCTGAGACCTCCCTGTGGTGAAGTTGGTCCTGTTCATACTCTAAATAACTCTTTTACTGTTTTATGTTTAATCATTCAGAGAGCGTAACATGAACATGTTTGTCCTGAGACCTCACTGTGGTGAAGTTGGTCCTGTTCATACTCTAATAACTCTTTTACTGTTTTACGTTTGATCATTCAGAGAGCGTAACATGAACAAGTTTGTGCTGAGACCTCCCTGTGGTGAAGTTGGTCCTGTTCATACTCTAATAACTCTTTTACTGTTTTACGTTTAATCATTCAGAGAGCGTAACATGAACATGTTTGTCCTGAGACATCCCTGTGGTGAAGTTGGTCCTGTTCATACTCTAAATAAATCTTTTATTGTTTTACGTTTGATCATTCAGAGAGCGTAACATGAACATGTTTGTCCTGAGACCTCCCTGTGGTGAAGTTGGTCCTGTTCATACTCTAATAACTCTTTTACTGTTTTACGTTTAATCATTCAGAGAGCGTAACATGAACATGTTTGTCCTGAGACATCCCTGTGGTGAAGTTGGTCCTGTTCATACTCTAAATAAATCTTTTATTGTTTTACGTTTGATCATTCAGAGAGCGTAACATGAACATGTTTGTCCTGAGACCTCCCTGTGGTGAAGTTGGTCCTGTTCATACTCTAAATAACTCTTTTACTGTTTTACGTTTGATCATTCAGAGAGCGTAACATGAACATGTTTGTCCTGAGACCTCCCCTGCGATGAAGCAGGTCCAGTTCATACTCTAAATAACTCTTTTATTGTTTTACGTTTGATCATTCAGAGAGCGTAACATGAACATGTTTGTCCTGAGACCTCCCTGTCGTGAAGTTGGTCCTGTTCATACTCTAAATAACTCTTTTACTGTTTTACGTTTGATCATTCAGAGAGCGTAACATGAACATGTTTGTCCTGAGACCTCCCCTGCGATGAAGCGGGTCCAGTTCATACTCTAAATAACTCTTTTATTGTTTTACGTTTGATCATTCAGAGAGCGTAACATGAACATGTTTGTCCTGAGACCTCACTGTGGTGAAGTTGGTCCTGTTCATACTCTAAATAACTCTTTTACTGTTTTACGTTTGATCATTCAGAGAGCGTAACATGAACATGTTTGTCCTGAGACCTCACTGTGGTGAAGCGGGTCCAGTTCATCATCTTGTAACGTCCTTCATGCTGGCTGAGAACATCTCTCATGGCTTGCTACTCAGAAAGGTACAAAGATTCCATCCAATTTTTTTTGGTATTAGTACCAAGAAAGACTGTGTTAGGCCTGTTGGCTATGAAAAGAAAACCTATTCAATCAACAATCTGTTTTTAGGCCAGAATAAGTTTCTTAAATCTTAACAATTGATCAAATTTAGCACTTTTCAACAAAATAGACAATGTAGCCTTTTTCTTTACAAACCTTTCCATGCTTGTGTAACGTGTGTTTAAACTTTTGCATGAATCCATTGCTCTCTGCCTGGGATCCTTAGGTACAGTTTCTTGGCACAATAAAAACAACGACTGACATAAATTTTGAATGTATTTTGAATTATTTATGAATCTGTAATTAGCAGCACCCTCTACATCTTCTGACAGAATACCGGTAGTGACATTTTACCTTGAGTAATTTCATTTCGAGTTCTTGCTACTGTTTTCATCAGCCTCACCATACAAATTTTGCTGGGAAACCGCCTACTAATTTATATATTTAGTAAATTAATATATCTATTTGGACCTGATAGATATCATGCATGTGTCCCGTCAGTCCCATATACATCTTTCTGTGTACAGTGTTTGTAACTTTACTAAGACTAGGCCAAATTTCTCATCATTTTGATGATTCCAGAACCTTGCAGTACACACCAATACTTATATGCTAGATGATCAACCTTTTCTGATCGATTCCACAACGTTTCTTGCACAATGCAATCGCATGACCAGAACTGGTCTTTACCTTTAACTTCTTACTCTTGTGTTTCTCCCCAGTCACCAGTGTTGCAGTACCTGTACTTCCTGAGTCAGATCGGTATTGCCATGTCACCTCTCAGCAACAATTCTCTCTTTCTCAACTACCATCGTAACCCGCTCCCAGAGTTCCATGCGCGTGGTCTCTGTGTCTCCATCTCCACCGACGACCCTCTTCAGTTCCACTTCACTAAGGTATAGTCAACTAACATTTTATTTGATTTATTTATTTATTTCTGTTTGATTTTCTTTTTCTTTTGCATTTTTACAAATATATAACAAACAAATCATTGCAAATGTTATACATGACAAAATGTATATAGAGAATAAAGCTGTAATTGGCTGTAACTAATCAAAAACATCAAACAAGAGGGTTGACAAAGTAAGCAAAGCTTGATAGCATGACTACCCTCAAGGGATACATAACAATACAAATATGGAGAAAAAAATATTGGTAAAAGGGGAAAGAGAGAGAGAAAAAAAGAAAGAAAGAGGGGGTGTACATCAAGATTTACAGATGTAAGTGGTAGTTGGATATAACTCATCTCAATTTTCCTCTTTAAGTTGCTCATAATATTAACAATTACAATCATGGGAGGAACAAACAGCAAGAAATAAAAACAAGAGTTGAATGCCCTTTAGTAGTTATTTTTAAAAACTTTCTTGAAGTACTTCATGATCATTTTGAAGCACAATTTGTTTAGGGCTTCAATATAACACCATATCACAGACTCTGATAAGACGTAGGGCCATGCATCTCCGATTGTAAAACCGTCAACATTGTTAAAGAATGCCTTTAAGAACTCTCGTTATGATCTGTCTTTCAGGAGCCGTTGATGGAGGAGTACAGCATTGCAGTACAGGTCTGGAAGCTTACTACGTGTGATATGTGTGAGCTTGCACGTAACAGTGTCGTCATGAGTGGATTCGATAATGACGTAAGTTTGATAGGAATTAAATTGTTTAAATGCATATGGAGTGACATAAAGTGAAGACCAGGGGGGTGTTTCACAAAGACTAAGATCAACTTTAATTTGGACTTAACTATGGCAGGCCATTCATGCCACTGTTTGCTCTCACCGTTTACTGGCATTGGTCTCTCAAGGGATGTACAAATCATGGTCACATATCTACAGAATTTACATTTTTTGAGAAATCTTTATGGAAGAAAAAAATATTAGCCAAAGATCATAATGGTGAGAGAAAACAGTGGCATGAACAGGCTGCCATAGTTAACTGAAAGGGAAGGTAGCATGACGAGACTTCATGTCTTTCCCGTGGCCTGACTCTGGGCCAATCAGGTATAATATGATTACGAAGGACGCGACCGCAGTATTCACATGCAACATACGCGAAACCGAAGCGTGAGGAGAACTTCAGTCTGTTTCGCGAACTCTAGCGCCCTGGTCGTTAATCAAGTCCATTCGTTTATGCGCAGTGTTGCAAAAAAAGTCATAGATGGCATTAACCAGTATTTGCCTTGCTACACCCCCTTTAATTCCCCTTTATCAATACTAACCAAAGTCTATGAAATCTCTGTTGGCAAGCACTGTTGGGAGAGATTCCTTGAGAAAGAATACTGTAGCCTCAATGATGAAAATCAACTCTATGATCATTGATCTGCTTATATAAGAAACACGTATGATTTGAGTACAGGCTAATGTCTATCTTATTACATCCCATTCTATCCCATTCTTTCATAATTCATTGCAGTGTTTCAGTGCTTGATAATCCAATTACATGCTCATCAAAAATTCTTTTATAACCAAAGAGAAAAGTAAAGGAAAACAAATATAACAAGACAAAAACAAAAATTCAAATAAAACTTGATAATTTACATAGCAGTTTGGCCACAAAATTAGAAATTAAACCGCTTAGAGGCAATTTGCAATTTGCGGTATACAAATATCTTATTTTATTTTAATGTGCAACATGATACTAAACTTTTAACTTTCTTTGCTTTGTTGTATAGACTAAAGACCACTGGCTTGGGCCTAACCATCGCAAGGAGGGGCCAGCAGGTAACGAGATCACCCGTACCAATGTACCTGACATCCGAGTAGCATTCCGCCATGAGACGCTGTGTGGCGAGCTCTTGACCATCTGTAGAGCGGCTCAAGACAAGAGTGAACATTTCGCAGCTCTCCCAAAGAACTTCTAGTTGATGAGAACCAACAGATGCATTGTGTAGAAAACTCCTTGCTATCTGTGGAGTCACACAATACCAGATTGGGAGAACCTTCCAAGAAGAATGGGAGACATTGTATGGAAAGCTCATTTCTGTTCCTTTGATCATTGCAAGACCAGACAGAATGTCTTTCCAGAACTCTCCAAAAAGTTCTGGGAGACTAGAAATGAGTGATTCAGTATGCTGAGAGCACTGGCTCATTTGTTTTAGGGAACAGCATCAAATCAAATGGACTGTTAGGTCAGAACTATGGGAAAAGTTCAGGAAGACTAGGAGTAAACCAAAAAGTCTACTTCTGACCACCTTAAGAGCAGTGGGGGAATAAATGATCACCTCCCAGTTCTCCCCAAGAAGCCCCGGAAGAAAATCCAAAGTCAGAACAGAGGCGTTACGCGTAGAGCTTCCCAATACCTGTGGAGTGACCCAAAGACAACATGGTCTGACCTTCAGGACCCTTAATTAAAGGAGCTGTTTGGAAGTCTTTGACACTGCTGCTTGAGATTATTACCACTTTCTGATGATCATTAGGTGGTCCTACAATGATCCAGCTTTCTTTCGTTGATCTTTGGGTCCTTATTTCCAGCGACCGTTCATTTTCTTTTGTTTCTCATGCCTGTCAGCTGATGATGATCAATGGCTGTTTGTAAAAAAATGTTGTTCAGTCTCTGTTACTTTTATTCTTGTGTCTGGCATTGAGAACAGTAGACTTATCTAAATCACTACAATTCATTCATACTTGTCACATTTTGAAATCTATATTTGATGTTTTACTTGATGATTATGTACTTATTTTTGTCATTCCATTTTACACCTACATTTTGTTGTTCACATTTTACTTGGCATTTCCCTTTTGATGTACTTGTTGTTTACACTACCGGGTATTTTAGCTCTTTATGCACCGAGAAATTTGAGACGTAATGGTTGAAGCTACTCTCCATTTGGTATTTGGTTTATTCTACAGCATCATTGTATTGGCCTATATGCACAAAGAAATGACATCATTTACAAGTCATGTTCAGTCCTCTCAACTTCTTTATTAGCCAATCACAAACAAGGTATCAACTGGTCCTCTTGAAAGGTTTGACAGTCTACTCCTGATTGGCTAGGGACATAGAGTTGGATCCATCATAGCTGAAATGTATCAAAAGCCTTGTTAAGATAGGTAGTTTGTCATATTTCCCCTTCAATGCTCTTTCCTATTATTACGTCTTAGTAACACAGATAGTGCAATAAGGCATTGGTCATATGCTCCATGCAATTTAAGAAATGTTAGGAGACTATATGAAGGTGCTGACTTTTAGATGTTATGTATTTCACGGACTCGTTCAAATATAACCTGCTATTCCTGTTCATAATTTCAACATGTTCAATTCCTTAAAAATTATGCAAATGTACATATCGTCCCTTATTTTTACGAAGTGACGGTAGTGAGGAAAATCGTCACTCAAAGTGAATGCAATTTTTTTCACTACCGTCACTACATGAAAACAGCGACGATATATATCAATATCATAGGTGTTAAACGGAATTCTTTATGAAGCTCTTATCGATTAGTTTCTTCACAGTTTGTATTCATTATTTACGGTATGAGGGTTCGTGTACATGTTGAGGTGTGGACCGGACTGGATCACATGGTTTGCGGTTCAAATCCCGCCTCAGCACTAATGTCCTTTGGCAAGACATTGATCTACATTTGCCACTCTCCACCCAGGTGTAGTAAATGGGTACCTGTTAGGAAGTTATTCCTTGAATGCTTTGAGCATCTCAGAGCAGCTGGGCTAAAGCCAGAATAATACTACTTTGTGGATGCCTTGAGCATCCCCTGGGATGGATACATACCAATATAAATGGAGATTTATATTAGTATTAATACAAAAGTTCTGTTCATTTGTATCCAAATATCAGATCTTTTCCATTTCTTATTTGATTTATATTCTCTCTGTATATACCACTATGCTTCTAAAGGTAGATGTATTTGATAGACATGAAGCGATTTTAACTGTAGAGGTGCCTATTCTAATATCATCTGTTAAGGCTGTAGGTTCTTGTGAAGAAAAGAAAAATCCTTTTAATTGATGCAGGGTTTTTGTGTATTCTATGAGCACTTTTACAGCTATTTTTTTTACCCTCTTATCGTAGATTGGTGGTAGCATTAGGGCAATTTCCTCTATATGTTTTTGTTTTTTTACTTTATAATTATGGCAAGCTATTCAAAGAAGAGTTCCATGAAAGCGGGTATGTTTTTAAGTTTATTGTCTATTTAGTTTCTTTCTTTTCTTTCTTTTTCTTTTTTAAGTAGATAAATGTACATAGAAACGTACATATATCAGTCAGATGTTGCTGACAATTAGAAATTAGTGCTAATTTACTCTTAGAAATACTTATTTAACTTGTAGCCTGCATAATCTGGTGTTTCTCATGATTTTGCCATTAAGAGATGCCTATGAGAGATGAGAAGTTGAGTCAATCATCACAGCTACCAACAGTAGATAATCAAAGCATGTGCCTTGTGTAGGAAGAAATATGCATATTTGCAATTGATAATGTGCCATACAAAGCAGTATTTTTATCACTAGCAGTAAAAAAAAAAAAATGAAAAAAAAAAGCACAGGTAGTGATAGTCTTTAACCCTATTCTACAGCACCCCCAGCCACACACTGGCCGGCCATGGAACGCTCATGGAATCGTGTTCCATAGCTGGGGGTGCTGTAGAAATAGGGTATAAAGTCACATGTAATGAGAAAATGATATCATCTGTAAATAGAAAATATATATTGCGGGTATAGCCTCTCAGAGAGTACTCGTATGTATGAACCTTGGTGGGTTTTACCGGGAAGGGTACGTAGAAGACCCTGTTTACATAAACTAGTTTTTAGTTTTCTATACCTTAGATAAGCTATTAGTGCTTTTTATTACATTTTATGAACATTGATTGCTCGTTAAAGAGTCATTAGAATATGATTCTATTTAATTTTAAGTAGTTGTTTCGAAATATCAATGTCAGCAGATTGCCGTTACTGAACAGTTAGCTTTTGTTTTAAGTTTACATTTGCATTTTACTTACAATTATTTGAGAAATAGAGCACGTTACTACTTGCTCTGGGGAAGTTCAGATATATATATGAAATATCCATTGCTGTACAGGTATACAAATTAGTGTGAATAAAACGAGAAACATATAAAGAAAGAAATATATATATATATTTATGTGCCATGTATAAGACATGGTGATACTGATATGAGATGGTAATTTATTGAAATATTTTTGAACAAATTGTGAAATGAATAGAAGATATATGAAGATATGGAGAAATGTTTTTAGGAAGAGTCTTCATCGTAAATAACTTGTTATAATCTTATATGGTTCAATTTATGTACATCCATAGATAGTAGAAACTAGTATTAAAAGTAGCTATAGTATTAAAAGTGTTATAAATGATATTCATAGTATTATATATATATATATAGTTTCCATTTACAGGGAACTAGTATGATCCCTCTATTGTAAGATTTCACAATATCATTACTGGATCTTATTGTATACAAGATTGTTGATAACCATTATATGTTTTTTCAAAACATTTGAACAACAGCAATGTTCATGAAATTATGTTTGAATAAAAGGTTTATAGTTGTTTTGTCAGGAGGTAAATATGACTGCAAGATATTACAATCAAATACTCTGATGCCCAGTCCGGGTGATAAGTTTTGCAATCACTTGTAAATGGCTTAAATTGTTTCATAATGATTATAACTGATGGCAATCAAATTTCTTATCAGTCGATCTTGATGATTGCAACTGACGTTTTGCAAGCAAATATTTGAAGCCTGAATGCATGATAAGAATACAGTGTATCTGTAGAACATCACTAATCCGTTACTTGCAATCAGGGACTTTTGAGGCCTATTTCATCAAAAGGTTTGTCTGGAAAAAATGTTAGCTTTATTCATCTGTAAACAAAATATGTATGTTGTGTTATTATTAATGATATATACATGTATATGGAATGTTGCTTTTGATATATCATTTTGGTTTATCACGAACAGCAGGTGTTTAATTGAAGTCGCATAGAAAAAACTATAGCCCGGTTGATTGGCGGCTCAAGAGACTGGCTTGTCAGTCAATTGGATGCTCTGTTAAATAAACACTGAAATCAAAATTAAATTTGGCTGTGCTCGTACAGCAGTGAGTCTTGCTATCCTGTCATTAAAAGCAGAATGAAAAGCTAAAAGCAATCTGTGTCTTTGAAAAAGTTCAAACTAAATATGATATCCTTAATTGCATAAAAGCAGGAAAACAAAAGAGTCATAATCTCAGAGTATTTTGCCACATCAACTTTGTCAAATACTGTCATAAAAGATCTTCTGTTACAACAAGCATCATGTTCTTCTTGTGTATCAAATCTATGAACACAATATTAATGATATTAATAAATACATATAAAGCGCACTTATCTAATTTTTTACTCAAGGCGCCAAAGAGAGTGAGAAGGGGTCGACCTGCTAGGTGCCACACAACTTCCGACATTGTTGATATTTGATTTTATTTGATTTGATATTTTTACCAGCAGCAATACAGTAATACATTTCATACAATGAGAAGAAAGCTTTGATAAAAAGAAACCTTTGATTTTATTTTCAGCCTGTCAGTTTCTTTGATTCATAATCCAGATACTGGGATTAAAGTATCCTCTGCTCAGGGCCAGAAAGGTTTTAACTCGTCTCATTCTCACAGAGTTGATACCCTCCTGGCTCTGCAGATGATCTCATGATTGTAACAGCTGGAATTACAACTTACATGTTTATCTCTTTTTAGTTCATTACATCTGTTAATTTTCTTATATATTTTAATATATTAAAGTAGATAGAATATGATATGCAAACTTATTATGGCTTTGATATCAAGCTTTAATAAATCCATGTGTTGATTGGCCTAGATTGTAATACATTTGTATGGTGCTTTATGATTATGGATGGGTAAGGTATTGAGTCCTGGTGAATATGTATTACAACCAATAACTATTGAGTATGAAATAGTCTCATGAGTAGGAATGAAGATCTTCCATTTGTGACAATGAGGCATTGAAAAAAGTATTGCATGGATGAAAAGGTTCATATGGAAGAAAGTCAGCTCACATAATATTCCAGGATAACATTTTTTGTTGAAAAAGCACATGTAAAGCATTTTGAATCATTCAGTGATGTTAATTTACAATTTTAATATTTACTCAACCAGATCACATGTACTTGTATTACATATGCCTATATGTTTGTTATAGATCTATTAGTTATTTGATCAGTGTATTAATTTTCAGTGGCAACAAAATGTATACTTGATTCATTCAACCTATTACATTTTTCAACAGGGATAAACATTATTGTAAATTTGTCAGGGTTACATCATTTAAGAGCTCTTGGTTTGTGACGTTTGGATCGTCTTCAGGAGAATGACTAGTATAGGACATTGCCTGTGAAGGGATCCGATGTGCGGACCGCCCATTCCTGATTGGCGGCATTCACAAAATAGTAGCAATTTTTGCATTTGGATAGGTATGAATTAGTTCATATATATATCTTCCGATAAGTTTTCCAATATTCCCAATGATCTATAATTTATGGCAAACTTGTAAATATTGCTTCATGTGCATGTTTTGTCATTATATGCCATGGTAATGTTATGTTTTGCTTGAAACTCAGTTGTAGCGCAATTACGTCTGACATGAAAATATGTAACATTTGCATGTGCAATTGTAAAAGTTTCAGTAAGATTAATTTGTTGTAATAAATTGAATTCAGCATAAAACAAAATGTATGTTTTCTTTCCTTGAAGTCCCCAGAAAATGGGAAAATGTGAGAGAAGTGAATTACTGAGAGGGTGAGGGAGGTATACAGTTAAAAACTTAAATTATTCATACTCCTTGTAAATTTGATGTGTTTTTTGTGTTTTTTGTTACTCAAGAAATGCAAGGTGGACTGGTTGAATTAATGCCTTTGTTGAATACTTTAAGATCTAAGGTTTAGTATGTCACATTCTCAAGAAACATAAATTAGGACAAATCAATTTTCAATACTTGAACATAAATAACACTTGGTAAGGGTATGAATAATTGAGTTGTTAGGTGTATAAGGTGTATGTAGGAAGACAATGACAACATAAAATGAGAGAGAGAGAGAGAGAGAGAGAGAGAGAGAGATAATGTGTGTGTGGAGAGAGCAGAGACAGACAAAAATATAGAGGGAAACTGATAGAAAAATATAGGATATAATAGAGAAGAAAATAAGACATGCAGAGAAAGAGAGAGAGAGAGAGAAATAGGATGGACAGTGAGGGGGAGAGAGAGAGAGAGAGGGGGGGGGGGTGACAGGCAACGGTGTCGATTTGTATCCGTGGTTGGGGGGATGATAGATGCCAAAATATTTTAGGCAATGGATCAAAGCAACCAAGAGGTAGAAGCGTGTGGCAGGTTGCACCCCCTCCCTTACAAGTTATTAACTTTCTCAAGTCACCCTCAATAAAGATAACATTTCAGAGAATATGGGACCCATGTGGGTCCAAAATGGGCTTGCAACTTGGGTTATTATCCTCTCAAGCGCGTAGCAAGGATTTTATTCTAAGGGGGCAGTATTGAGCACGCGAAGCGTGCGAATCACTTACATAGCGCGCAAAGCGCGCTCCCTAGGGGGCGGGTGCAGGGAGGGGGGGGGGGGTTC